TACTCCGTAATTCATTGCGCGCGCGCATAGCTTCTGTATAATCCTTTTTTTCCCTAATCGAGAAGAGAGTGAGAGGCGGGTTGAGGGGGTTATGGGTTGTTGCAGCAGCAAGAGCGTGGTTACTGTGGCCGAACGCATTGCTCGATGGCGTGCCACAGGAATCGTCGCTTTACGCGACTCCAAATTGAAGGCATTCTCATCCGTCCTTCTATTTCGTTTCCATATATATTATAATAGACAATTAAGGATTGAATTTGCCTGTGGTTTTCGTTGTGAAATCATAGCTGTTTTGCTTTTTTAAAATGCTTTACTCAGTTATTTCTTTTGGAAAATGGGGTTTTGGAGAATTCGGAACATTAAGTCATGATTACCATAAAATTGTTCTTGATGGCTAAATTATGTCTATGGTGTGGCATGTGTGTTATACGACTATGATGTACTTTCGATTGTTTGCAGCAAATTGTCCATTTGATGATAATGTTCATTGTCTTGTACGTATCAATTTATTTGCTAATCACCGTAACCGAATTATGTGATTCTAATCTAAAGCCAAATATTCACTATTTTGGCTTTGAGATATGATGGAATAATGCAAAATGACTCTTTAAACACGCTCTTCTTTTATAGTGAAGTAACATTTAGTCAATACAACTTTCGATTCTCATCGTGGGTCATTTGGAAATAGCCGCTCTATGTTTTAAACAGAGGTCCGGTTGCGTGCATCTGACCCCTAACCCCGCAATGGACAATGTTGTTGTTGTATCTACTTTTTAAGTGCTAAACTGGTTTTCAACTATGATCTAAAATACTTGTGGTGATTTCTTCAAGAATGATGCATGTTGAAACTGGAAAAACTTGTCAGCTCATAGCACTGCAGAAGAATTTCCTTGTAAAGCTAGATACTGATTTCTATATTTTCTTCTCAGACATTTCCAGGTGAAGTTCTTGACCTAGAGAGATCAGTGCGCACTCTTGATTTAACACACAACAAAATAGGTATTTGATTAATGCTTTAGTAGGTAGTGACTGTAATGTTGATTTATTTTTTCCTTCTACCATCTTTTCAATTTTTGGGTTTCCCATGAATGAATTCAAGTATAGTCACAGAATTCGCTCCCTAAGCCGCGACTTTCGTATTGGTATGCGGCGTACCCAATCACAATTTGATTGTGATTCGATTGTAGCCGGTACAGCGTACCCTTTGACGCGGTACACCGTACCTGATTGAGCTGGTATGGCGTACCAAATGCCAACTGAAATCGTCCCCATCCCCTTGGTACGGCACACCAAGTCAGAAATAATGGCGTACCAATTGCTGGCGGTACGGCGAACTAGTCCAATGGGCGACTTTCCCTCTTCCAATTGGCGACCTTTTTTCCAGACTTAAGTATATTGAGTAGTTCACACTTCCCAGGCATGTATTGAGTATTCCACTTTCCAATGTCTTATTAAAAAAACTCATTTAATATTTATTTCAAAATTAAATTTACAATTAAATATTATATATATATATATATATATATATATATATATATATATGTACATACATACATACATACATACATGAATGTATGTATGTATGTATGTATACACACACGCGCGCACACACACACACACTAGTAGATTAAAATATTTTAGTTGATTTTTTTTTCAATTGGATTTTGTAATGTTATGCACTTATGTTCGTCTTATGTATTTTTGTTTATCTATGTTTTGACTTTTGGTACACCAAACCGAATACATGGTACACTATACTGCTTCGTACC